ACTGGATCTTCTCGGTTTGGATTCCGCACACCTCTCTATGGAGTGTGCGGTGGGCGTTATTAGGGCGGAATGAAGAGAGGAAAAAGCGGGGTTTAGGAACCGAACGGTGAGCTGGAGAGAGAGTGGAAAGATGGATGATACCAAAGTGCCCTCACCGAGAACGGCTGCTTAGCTCTCTCTCTCTGAGATCGGTCTCATCTTCGTCCTCATCTCTCTCATAGAGGGTCAGTGCCTATTAGTGGCCAAGGGTCTCATCTACGGCCAATTCATCATCTCTAGACAATCACATCTTCGTTTCTCGTCTCGTCCTCTCTTCCTCTCTACTCTACATCTCGCAGCCTCTCTCTCTATATCTCTTCTCTCTCTCACTCTCTCAATCTTTCTACTCTCTCTCTTAAGAATCTCCTTTTCACATCATAACTATCTACTTTTTTCATCGCTCCTCATCCATCTCATCATTACCTACATCTCTCCCTCTCTCTCACTCCTCTCTCCTCCGATTCATCCTCCTTGGCATTATTTCCATGCAAATGTTAGATAGTGTTAAGAAGCACAAGAATTAGCAAGATATCAGAGGTACATAATGAAGCTGCTCTCTAACATGAGCGGGGATACTCTGGATTCCGCTCAGGAGATCTCGAAGAGACAGAAGGCAGGAAATAAGGGCGTGTACCAGAGGGGACAGCTAGAGAATCGCAGCGTGTGGCTAATCAGGGGTGTAAGGATTCGAGGGAATGAAGCTACGAAAAATGCCACCTAAGAGATTCGGCAGGGAGGCGGGAACAGATGCTGCGGCCTCTCTCTCTCCTCATCGCTCTTCCGTTAAGAAGCTGGATACGGGCCTACCGCATCTCGCTTCTTAAGCCTCTCATCTCAATCTAATTATATATCTATCTAATCTATCTGTTCTTCTAATCATCAGATGACCATTTCTAAACGGAAAGATACCAAAAAGCGAGACAGAAATTAAAATAAGAAGCAACTGCGCTTGTTAAATATGTAAACGGTGTAAATGTGTGTTATTTACTGTCGTTCTGCACTACATACACATGGGTTTTACACCTCACACTTAAAGAAAACGCTGTCAATCTAAAAACGATATGATTACATTTCAGACATGCCTTAGTTATTAAGTGTCCATCTAGCTCCATCCCAACTCACCATCAACTATCCTTTCAACCACACGTCTGAACCTACCTACAACGCAGCCTGTAACCCTGAAACCCACTCAGACGGCTACCTCAGAAACCCTTCTTCAAGGCCTCACGACTCATAGAAACGGCACCGCACGCCATTAAGACCCCAGAATCCAGCACCACCCTCAAACCCCTACAGTCCACTTCTAGCCCCCTCACAACATGCAGCAAACTAGGTTCCACCCCCCTTATTTCAGCTACATCCACCCACCAGCGTCGACGAAACCAGGGCCCTTTTCAAAACCGTACCGAAATATGAACACCTAAAGCCTCGGCAACCGGGCTCACTTCAAGAGACCCTCGAAATCGCCAGTCAATACATAAGAATCAGAATTCAACTCCCTTCCGCGGTGGTCATCTCAAGGCAGGCAAGAGGTAGACGTCGCAGGCCCTCTGTTGGCGGTTTCAGACAACATGTTCGTTCACAACAACTCGAAGCACGGACGGCGGGCCAAGCGACTCGACCCGACTGAGGGCATGTTCGGTGAGTACTCGTATATTTAAGGTTGTTTTGATGTATTTATTTGTGTTTTAGTTGTATTCTGTATTTTTTTTTTTATGTGTGAGTTTGGGGATTTTTTTTTTTTTCGTCAGTGGAGAGTGTCATCGGGTTTTCATCCATTATGTTGTGGATACTTGTATTTAAGGAGGATGAAAACTATTTTCGTCCTACTTTCTTTCTCTTTCGTCTCTCTCTCTTCTCTCTCTCTCTCTCTCTCTCTCTCTCTCTCTCTCTCTCTCTCTCTCTCTCTCTCTCTCTCTCTCTCTCTCTCTCTCTCTCTCTCTCTTTCCCTCCCTCCTCCTCCTCTCCCTCCCTACCTACCTACTACCTCTCTCTCTCCCTCTCCCTCTCTCATTTACTCTTTTTTTAAATGTCATCAGAAATAGTCTTTTCTAAGGCATCTTTAAAAAAAAAACTTTATTCAAGAGCGAAATTTATCCTTACTTATCATACTTTTTGGAGGGGGAGCGAGAACCCTCTTGGAAAAAAATAACTTCCTCGACACAATGTTTCTCGAAAATTCCAATTGTAATAACTCTTAGGACTCCTTCACTCTTTTCGTGTCTTCTCTCTTCTTTTCTCTTCGTTTCTTTTTTCTGTTTTCTGTCTTCTGGTATTATAGTTTTTTTTTCCTTTTTTCTTTGTTCTTTTTTTTTTGTCTTCTTTTCACTCTTTTCTTTTTTTGTCGCGGCTTTTCCTTCTCTTCTTTCTCTCTCTCTCTCATTCTCTCACTCCCCTTCATTCTCCCTCATCTCTTCTCCTCTCATTCTCCCCATCTCCCTCCTCCTTCTCCCTTCCCCCCTGAATCTGATCGCGGCGTCTCTCTCCATAGCTTTTAAATCTCCCGTCGAGGTGGTGGTGGCGGGAGAGTTAGCTTACTGGTATGAACTATGTCTTTTACTAACTTTGGGAACCCCGGAGCGATCTTACGGTAAAAAGCAACAATAGTTTCTCATTTGTAAGTTGGTCTTAGACAATCCCCCGCGGGGCCATAGCTCCCCGCTGATTGGTTTATTCTCCCAGCGGGAACCAGCCTCGGCCGCTGATTGGTCCGAGAAGCCTCGTTGTTCACAAGACGTGGGAATGGCAATTCGGATTTTTATGTATGTGTTTTTGAGAACCTTGTCGCTGCGGGGAATCTTTGGGATATAAAGAATATATCGAAATCAGAACGATAAGCATCGGCCGCGTGTGACAAAGAGAGTAGGAGGAAGAGAGGATGCGTTTTGTTTGTTTATTATCGTTTACGGGAGGGTAATATCTTGTCATTTTCACCCCGCGAGGAAGGCCCGGCGATGTTTACGACGAGCCGAGTTGTCGCTTATAAGAATTCCGTTGTCCCTCCCACCTCTTCCATCTCCTTACTTCTCCCCCATCCTTGTTCTCCCTTCTTTCTCCTCTTCTTTATAATCCCCCATAAATCACCTCGCGGAATATACAAAAATCCAGAATCGAAAGGAAATGATAGCAAGCGAGACCACGTGACCATTTTGTGATCCCGTAGAATCGCGCGCCAGTGTTGCCATCCGAGGCCGCGTTCGAATGTGACGTTACGCTCACACCGCGGCGGCCGGCGAGCGAACGCATCGGGAATCAATAAATATTTCGCCGGGCCTGGAATTATGAGCATATTATCTCTCAATGGCTCTAACTTAGTTTATTCGTGCGTCGGGGTGGGCGGGAGCACTTTTAAACCGATATCAGACCCTCTTCAGGTTATTAGGGACGCCGTTAGAATATCCTAATTAGGAAAAGATACAGTTTTTTTTTTAAATTCATCTTTCATTTTTTTCTTTGAGTATAATTGCTTAGTTTTGTGTAGATTAGTAACATAATTCTAATAGATTATTTTCAAGTTGAAATAAAAGACAAAAGATTAAGAAAAATATAAATTCAATAATAATAATAATAATCGTAATGTTATTAACGGCATTGCAGTGATGAGAAGAACAGTAATTCTAATAATAGAAATAGTGATAAACAGTATAAAAATGTGATGATAATGCTAATAATGATGTTGATAATTATGATGGTAATAATAATAACAATAATAATAAAAAAATAACGATAACAACAAAAATAACTATAACCACACCTATAAAACAAACAACAGCAGTAATCACAACACAAAATACCCGACAAAGAACAGACAGACAGACATCAAAAGCGAAAGCGAGAGAAAGAGAAAGAGAGAGAGAAAACGCGACACGAATGGCTCCGTCGCCGATGAATCATGGATCAGTCACTCGGCCTAATCTCTCGGTGGAATCAAGGTAGGCCTATGACGCAAGAGCGGGCCGGGGATTCCCCTTCGCTTGACCGCTGTGATGATTAGGGCCAGAGATCAGTCAAAGGCCGGGGAGAAGGGGGGGGGAGGGGGGGGGGGGAGGAGGGGAATGGGGAGGGGGTGTAAGGGATGAGGGAAGGGAGGGAAAGATCTTTGATGTTTTTTTTTTTTTTGGGGGGGGGGGAGGAGGGATGTATTTTACCCTTTTCTTCTTTTTGTTTATATTTCTTAACTTCATATATAAGTATATATATATATATATATATATATATATATATATATATATATATATATGTGTGTGTGTGTGTGTGTGTGTGTGTGTGTGTGTGTGTGTGTGTGTGTGTGTGTGTGTGTGTGTCTTCTGCTTATTCATCCTAATTTTGCATCTTCTCCACCATCATCTTTTTCCTTTTCTTCTTCTTTCACTCCTTCTCCTTCTTTACACTTTCCCACTTTTCTTGATATTTCCCTTAAATGAAGCTTATTCCCTCATATTTTCTCCTTTCTTGTATATTTTCTTACGCTCTCATTCTTGAATTTAGATTTTCTTCAGTTAAAACGTATTTTACGGTCAAACTACGACTTGGTTACAAACTTGAAACACTATTTATATTTTCAAGTCTAAGTCATGTTGTATATTCTTTATATTCTTTTTTTGGGGGGACTTATTATTGTTGTTATTCATTTTTTTATTCTATTTTTGTTTTTATTTTTTCATTCTATTTTTGTTTTTATTTTTTTATTTTATTTTTTTTCTTTCTTTCTTTTTGTTCATTTTTGGGGAAAACTCTACGGATCGACATTTTCTTGTTTCATTTTATTTTTTCTTTCTCTTTCTCCCCTTTTCGTTCCTTCGTATCGATTTTCTGTATGTTTTAAATCTCTCGTTTCTTTTGTTTCTATGTCTTCACCATTTCATATTTTGTACTCTCTTTCTTCTCTTCTTTGTTTTTTCCTCCATTATCGTATTTTGCTTCTTCCACTTTTCTTCCTTTCTTTCTTCTGCACCACCATTTCCCCCCCTTTTTCTATTTCTTTTACTATCTCGTTCTCCTTCCACCATCTTCATTCCCACCTCTTCCTATCATCTTTTTTTCCTCTCCTCATCTATTTTTTTCTCCTCTTCTATCTCCCACCATCTTCTCCTCCTCTTCTATCTCCCACCATCTTCTCCTCCTCTTCTATCTCCCACCTCTTTCTCCCCCTCTTCCACCTCCCCCCTTTTCCCCCTTTCCACCTCCCTTCTATCCCCCTCTTCCACCTCCCCCTTTATCCCCCTCTTCTTCCACCTCCCCTTTACCCCCCCCACCCCCCAATCCTCTTTCCCACCCAATCGCCCGTCCTCGCGCAGGATAGGATAGGCATAACGATCAATCCTTATTCCCGGTCCCTAATTCCATCCCGACTTGTTCCTCCTTCGCCCGACCCATCGCCGACCGCCTCCGCCGCCGTAGATCTCAATTACCCGGCGCTTTCTTAGTCGGGCCGACGACGGAGGGGAGGAAAGGCCGGATGGGGTAATTCTTAAGACTGTCGGGGGGGGGGGGGGGGAAGGAAGGAGGGGGGGAGGGGAAGGGGAAGGTAAGAGGATGGAAGGGTTGGGGGGGAATGGGGAGAGGAGTGGGGTAGGGGAAAGGGAAGGAAGGAGGGGTGGGAGGGGAAGGGGAAGGTAAGAGGGATGGAAGGGTATGGGGTGGGAATGGGGGAGGGAGTGGGGTAGGGGGAAGGGGAAAGGGAAGGAAGGAGGGGTGGGAGGGGAAGGGAAGGTAAGAGGGATGGAAGGGTATGGGGTGGGAATGGGGAGAGGTAGTGGGGTAAGGGGAAAAAGGAAGGAAGGAGGGTGGGAGGGGAAGGGGAAGGTAAGAGGGATGGAAGGGTATGGGGGTGGGAATGGGGAGAGGGAGTGGGGTAAGGGGAAGGGGAAAGGGAAAGAAGGAGGGGTGGAGGGGAAGGGGAAGGTAAGAGGGATGGAAGGGTATGGGGTGGGAATGGGGAGAGGGTGTGGGAATGGGGGGAGAGAGAATGGAAATGGGGGAGAGAGAGAGTGGGAATTGGGAGAGAGAGAGTGGGGATGTGGGAGCGACAGTGGGAATAGGGAGAAAGGATGGGGATGTGAAGGAAGGAGAGAGGAAAAGGGAAGAACGGAAGGGTTGGGGAAAGATAGAGGGAAAAAGGGAGGGGAATTGGGAAAAGAGAACGTGAAGGGTTTAAGGTAGGATGAGGGTGCGAAAGGGCAGAGGAAGGAAGGGAGGGAAGAAAGATGGAGCTGGAGGAAGGGGGGATGAAAAGGTGCGAGATTAAGGGAAGATCGAGATGGGGAGAGTGAAGGGTTAGGAGGAATAACAAAAATAACCCTTTCATTAAAAAAAGTAATAAAAATAACGAAACCAGACAACCAAAAGACGAAAAAGAAAAGACGAAACCAAGAGAATAAATAACTCTACGAGAGAAGGCACAATAAAGGACACATTATTAAGACTTGGGATGTCCGAGTTAGTTCTTGGACGCTTTCCCCCCGGGTAATTTCCCACGTGGAAAATAAACCTCACTTATTTGATTCTTACCTCAGGGCGATCGCTTTCTCTCTCTCTCGGTCTCGCCTCTCTCTCTCTCTCTCTCTGTCTCTCTCTCTCAGGGTCGTTCGTTCTCTCGTTCTCTCTCTGTCTCCTTTCGTTGTCTTGATCTTTCTGTAGGTCTGTTGTTCTTTTTCTGTTTTTTTTTCTGATTCGTGCGCTCTATCTCTTTCTTTCTCTCTCGGTCTCTCTCTCTCTCTCTCTCTCTCTCTCTCTCTCTCTCTCTCTCTCTCTCTCATCTCTCTCTCTTCTCTCTCTCTCTCTCTCTCTCTCTCTCTCTCTCTCTCTCTCTCTCTCTCTCTCTCTCTTCTCTCTCTCTCCTCTCTCTCTCTCTCTCTCTTCTCTCTCTCTCTCTCTCCTCTCTCTCTCTCTCTCTCTCTCTCTCTCTCTCTCTCTCCCTCCCTCCCTCTCCTCCCTCCCTCTCCCTCCCCTCCCTCCCTCCCTCCCTCCCTCTTCCTCTCTCCCTCTCTCCCTCTCTCCTCCCTCTCTCCCCTCCCTCCTCCCTCCCTCTCTCCCTCCCTCTCAGTCCTCACAGCCAAGTGAATCATTGATCATCACTCACAGAAAGTCCATATCGTGAGACAGGTTGCCGTCAACATTACAGGAAAGGCATTACATCAAGAGTAAAACATTTTTTTCTCTTCTCTCTCGGTCTTCTCTCTCTCTCCCTCTCTCCTCTTCTCTCTCTCTCTCTCTCTCTCTCTCTCTCTCTCTCCTCTCTCTCTCTCTCTTCTCTCTCTCTCTCTCTTCTCTCCTCTCTCTCTCTCTCTCTTCTCTTCTCTTGTCTCTCTGTCTCTTCGGTCTCTCTCTCTCTCTCTCTCTCTCTCTCTCTCTCTCTCTCTCTCTCTCTCTCTCTCTCTCTCTCTCTCTCTCTCTCTCTCTCTCTCTCTCTCTCTCTCTCTCTCTCTCTCTCTCTCTCTCTCTCTCTCGTACCTGTCTGCTAATCGAATCAAGCTCAAGTTTACCATTTCCGATAATTTTTTTTTTGGGGGGGGAGGAGAGATGGGAGGGGGGGGGGGTAGATAAGATATAAGAAAGAGGGGGAAAAGAAATGGGAGTTTAGGGGGGAAAAAGAGGGTGGTTAGGTAAGGAGGAGGGGGGGGGGAGGTAGAGAGAAAGAGAAGAAGAAGAGGGAAGAAGGAAGGAAGGGAAGAAAAGGAAAAAAAGGGGATACGAATAGAAGGAGATAGATGAAAATGATGGCAAAAGAATGACTTATGAAAGGCTGAAGAAGGTAGAGGAAGAAGAAGAGAGGAAAAGGAAAGAAGAAGAAGAAGAAGAAATACGAGTGAACGAAAGATTGAAATAGCAGCGGGGCTTGTCTTGGATTGCTCTTGTCAGATATGGAAGATCACCGCTAAGAAATATTTACAGCTCCCGTCCCCTCGCTCTCTGTCTGTGTATGTGTGTGTGTGTGTGTATACATACATACATATATATATGTATATATATATATATATATATATATATATATATATATATATATATATATATATATATATATATATATATATATATATATGTATATGTATACACACACACACACATATGCACATGTATGTGTGTGTGTATATATATATGCATGTATGTATGTATATATTTATGTATATATATTATTTAACATATTTACCTATTTTTCTATTTTTATTTATTTATTTGTATGAGAGAAGCGTACACGCTGCTGATTACGTGATTACCTGCGCGGATAAAATTCCCATAAAAAAGCCTCGGCTGTGCCCCCGACTCGCTGACTGGGGGGCAGGGGGGGGGGAGAGACACCTAGGGGGGGGAGAGAAATCTGGGGAGGGGGAGGGGAGGGGAGAGGGGGAAGGGGGGAAGGGGAGAAGATCTGTATGCAAATGCTTCAAGTGCGTCGCGCTGTGATCCGGACCGCAGCGGAGGTAGTGAGTAAACACAAAAATAAAAAAAGGAAAAATATAGATATATGTATACTGCATCTCGAAGATTTTTAAGCGACCGAAGCTATTTGTTTTTTTGTTTGTTTTTTGTGAGAAAGAGTGAGAGGAATGGTTTTTTCTTTCGAGATTTGAACCTTAATTTCAATCAGGAAAAAGATATATGTGTACACAAAATGGGCAACGTGTATGTATCTATGTATGTATCTTGTTTTTGTGTGCGTGTGTTTGTGTGTGTGTGTGTGTGTGTGTGTTTGCGTGCATGTACGTATATAATCTATGTATGTTTCTTTTCTCTTCGAAAACGAAATTATTCCAAATCTTCCCGGGACTGAAAATTGGCGGGAAAAAGTCACCGGAAAGTAACAGACCAATAAAAGAAAAAAAGAAAAAAAAAATGATATGACAGCTTCTTTGCCAAACAGATTTTGTTGTCGTGAAAAAAGCTTTCGTAGTCAGTTTTTGAAGGAAGTGGGCGGGAGGGGGGAGGGGGTAGTTAGGGTGAGAGTGGGTTAGTGGGTGGCGTGTGTTTGGGGGGGTGGGGGGGGGAGCGGATGGTGTCTCGGACGAGGAGGAGGAGGAGGGGGCGGAGATGGGGAGGGTGGGAGGGGGAGATAGATGAAGAATTTTTAACTTTCTTTGCCGTGGGCCTAAGTCCCCCCCCTCACCCCCAGCACCCTCTCCCCCATCCACGCCTCACCCCCTTCTCTCTTCCTTCTCCGACACCCCTCTCCCCAACACCCCCTCCCCCTCTCCCCCGTCCGACAGTAAAATTAATGGCAAGTATTACGAGTAGTACGTGGCGGCTTGGGAAAATGTTGTATATATTTTTTCCAGCCATCTACCAACTATTTCCCTACTCCCCCCCCCCCTCCTCCTCCTCCTCCCTCACTCTCTACCCTCCCCTCCCTCACACTGGGCCGTCTCTCACTCTACATCTCACCAACCCCCCTCCTTTCTTCTCTTCTCTCTCTCTCTCTCTCTCTCTCTCTCTCTCTCTCTCTCTCTCTCTCTCTCTCTCTCTCTCTCTCTCTCTCTCTCTCTCTCTCTCTCTCTCTCTCCTCATCTCTCCCTTTTCCTTCTCCTTCCCCCTACTTTTCTCTTCCTCTCTTTCTCTCACCTTTCTCCTCACTTCAGCCTCTCCTTATTTTCTCTCCTCTTGCCTCTCTTCTCTCCTTTCATCCTCTTTTCCTCTCCTCACCTCTCCCTTCATCTCCCGCCCCCATCTCTTTCTTTCTCCCTGTCTCTCTTCCTCTCCTCTTCTCTTCCTTATTTATCGTTTTTTATTTCGTCCTTTTGGTATAGTCGATGACACTCTCCGTCTTATATTTTTAATTTGTTTGTTTGTTTTTCGTTATTGTGTGTTTGTCATATTTGTTTTTATATATATTTTTGTGTGTGTTCATATACATCTCTTTTTGTTGGCCTTCTCATTTATTTCCAAAATATTTTCCAAAAATAGTGTAATTAGTCCTATAATTACGTATTTGTGGAATTTGGAAGCAAATAAACACCCATCCGTAGTCTTCATCATTAGCATCATCAGCATCATCAGCATTATCATCATCTTAACTAGGATGTTTACAGGCCGCGTCCCTGTTGTTCACTCTTCACCTCTGCTGTTTACATCCTTGTCACTTCTCACTTCTCTCTCTTTTTTACTTTTTTTTTCTCCACTGCACTTCATTCCGTTTCGATCTGTCTCGGTCTTCTGGTTGACTGTCTAGCTCCTTCGCGATCTGTTTGTCTCTATTGTTTTTTTTTTCTCTCTCTGTCTCATTCTTTCCCTCTCTTGTTTTCTCTGTCTCAGTCTCTCTCTCTCTCTCTCTCTCTCTCTCTCTCTCTCTCTCTCTCTCTCTCTCTCTCTCTCTCTCTCTCTCTCTCTCTCTCTCTCTCTCTCTCTCTCGCATTCTTATCTACCTGTCTGTCAACCCATCTATCTATATCTGTCTCAGCCTCTCTCACGCTATCTCTCCCTATCGTTTCCCCTAGGTCCCTCCCTTCTCCCCTCTCCTCCACCCCCTTTCTTCATCCTCCCTCCCCCTCCTTCTCCTCCTCTCCTCTCCATCCCCCTTCCTCCTCCTCCCTCCCCCTCCTTCTCCCCCTTCCTCCCCCCCCCTCCCCCCTCGGCGGCAGTAAGTGCTTCAGCATCGGCCTTCTCTCGAATCACCTCGTTCTGACCTCGTTAACTGACCTCGCATCCCCTCCTCCTTCCCCCCTTGCCTGCAGGTATGCACGCCCCAGATACTGACCTCGTTCGCCCCTCAGGTCTGTACCCTCCGCTCCCGGCCACGCCCTGCATCAAGGCCATCTCCCCCTCGGAGGGCTGGACCACCGGGGGCGCCACCGTCATCATCATCGGCGATAACTTCTTCGACGGTCTGCAAGTCGTCTTCGGGACCATGCTCGTCTGGAGCGAGGTGAGTGAAGAGGTTTCGGATTCCCTCTCCGATTCGTGCGTCTGTTGTCTTTTGTCTTTTTTGTTGAGTGCGTTTATTGTGATATTTTCTCTTTAAAGGTTTGGAATCTGTTGATGTTCATTTCGATGCGATTCTAAATGGAGTTTCGTTGTTGATTTGTATTTTGTGAATCCGATTATCTTTACAAAATTTAAGACTCTTTAGAATCGTAACTTCAAAGTGAATTAGATGCTTCTATAAGACATTATGGAATAGAAATCTCACGCACCTCCTGTCCCCTTCCAGCTGGTGACGTCACACGCCATCCGGGTCCAGACGCCGCCTCGCCACATCCCCGGCGTGGTCGAAGTGACGCTCTCCTACAAGTCGAAACAGTTCTGCAAGGGCGCTCCCGGCAGATTCGTCTATGTCTGTAAGTATCCTGTAGTTACCATTAGTTTATTATTATCATTATCATTACTACTATTACCATCATCATTATTATTTTTTGAAAGGCGAAAAAAATAAGTCGCCCTTTCTTAGCGTTTGCTCAAGATCTTACCCCGCTCGCCCCCGCAGCCCTGACGGAGCCCACCATCGACTACGGTTTCCAGCGGCTGCAGAAGCTGATCCCGCGGCACCCCGGCGACCCCGAGAAGCTCCCGAAGGAGATCATCCTGAAGCGCGCGGCGGACCTGGCGGAGGCGCTGTACTCGATGCCCAGGAACAACCAGCTCGCTCTGCCTGCGCCGCGCTCGCCCGCCATGAACCAGACCTCCGCCATGACCGGCTTCAACACCTACACCGGCCAGCTCGCCGTCAGCGTCCAGGACACGGCCAACACGCAGTGGGGCGAAGGTAAGGCGCGCCCGCCCTTCCGCAGTACTGAGGAAATGGTATCGTGGAGATATGTGACATTCTGAGATATTCTTAGCTTCCTGCACACCCCTTTCTTCCTTTCTTTCCCCTCTTCCCCCCTTTGTATTATGGTCGTTCTGATTTTGCATGACTCGGGCATCCTCCGGTCCCTCTCTCCTCCCTTCCTTCTTCTCCCTGTCAACCCATCCCTCGTAGTCCGTAGTGAGGCTCGTAGAGTGCGCATAGCGTCGCTTTCCTTCGGTTCCTGTGTCGCCCTCCGCCGCCCCCGCCGCGGCCGGAGGCTGGAATAACTTTTAGAGTGTAGTCGTGAGCCTTCTCAACCCTTGTACTGACGCCCTGGTTGTTCTCACTTGTAGGTTTTTTCTTCTAGACGACTACACCCGCGCTCAGGGCCCCGGAGTAAGCATATCCTCGCCTCGGGGGGGCTTCGGGTCCAACGCCTCCACTCCTCACTCCTCCTCCACCGGCTCCTCCTCCTCCACGTACGGCGCCTCCCTCAACGCCGCCGGATACTCGTCGCCCTCGAACCTCGCCAACATGACCACGTCGCCCAGCCTCTTCAACAGCACCACAAGTAGGTCCTTCGCTCGCCTTGTCACGATGCATTTTATCATTATTATTTTCCCATTATATTTATTTCTCTGATTATTATCATTATTCATCTTCCTTTTTTTCTACCTTTGCACCAGTTTTACGTAGATGCATTTTCACTGTAATTTCCTCTTGCCTTGATAACTTCGCTTCGTTGATCAGTCTTTTGAGTTGTGGCGAAGGAACCCGCAAAACGAGGGTCCGCTTCTACCACGCTTTTTGCCTGGCTATTTTCATTTATATTTTCTGCTTAAATATTTTCTTTCTCACTGTAAAGTACTGCTATAATTTTAGATTCTTAGTGTCATTTATTTATTTCACGTATGCTCTTGATTTAAAAAAAGAAACACGATTTTAAAACAGTTTATTTTTTTCAAAGTAATATTCTTAACTATAAATGACTTAGAGTCGTCACAAGAACGATGTACGCAGTAGCTTGTCATAAAGAAAGGTGTCCCTTGATGGCCCTTGCCCGAAACTGTTGACGAAACGTGTCGTAGAGTTGCGTGGCCGCCCACTTACGCTCCCTCCTCCTCCTCCTCCTTGGTCGTGTAGCAGCGGGCGGCTATGGCGGCCACCACGGGTCCTGGGGCACCTCCTCCTCCTGCGCCTCCTCCTCCGCCGCCCTCCTCTCCCAGTTCACGGCGGGGATGGGCGTGGCCGGAAATAATAAGCAGCGTAGTGCCTTCGCTCCAGTCATCCCCGGCCTCCCCGCCACGCCGCCCCTCACGCCCATCGCGCCCATGGGCGGCTCCTCTGTGGCGTCCTCCATGAACCCCAACGGCGCCGCAGTGGCCGTGGCGCCCTGGCAGCAGCTCTTGTCTTAGTGTTAGTTTCTTCACGGCTTCCTCGCTTGCATGGCGGCTTCTCGCATCTCTGTGCTTTTAGTTGGTAAAGCCTCTTCATCTAGGCCTCTCCTCTCCTTTTCTCTTTTTTTTTTCTTTTTGTTTATTTTGCGACTGACTGTAGAAGTGATGGAATGTTGACATACAGTGCGATACTCAAAGTCGCTCCGCCCGCAGCCGCCTAACCCGCTCCCTCTCTCCCGCAGGAATGGGCGGCTTCATGTCGTCCGCCTTCACCTCGATGGGCCACTTCCTGCCCCCGTGCGGCTCGCAGCCCTACGGGCCGGCGCTCGTGCACTCCGCCGCCACCAAGTGATAGTGGGCGTACGAGTCGTCACGACCCAGCGCCCACGCCTTCCCCGGACACTTCGCCCGGCCGACGGATCGCGGCCGCCCGCAGGAGCTCGTGGTGGCCGCACACTGTTGCGAGCCGCCGCCGCCCGCACGGACGCTGACGAGCCTGTGACTGAGGCCCTTCCCGAGCGGGTCGTGGGCGCCGGGGCTGCTGCGACGACCAGACGACGGCGGTGACGATGACCGACGACGCGACGCGACGAGCGAGAGGGAGAAGAAGAAAGAAACCAACCCGCCTCACGCCCATCCCGAGGACGTCCCTCTCAGGCGCATCGAGTGAGACTTCCCCCGCATACATATCTTTCTAAATCGTAGGCATTACTCCGGGAGTCGCTCTTCGGGGCGAGTTCGGCGAGGGAAAGGACGGTCCGCTCGCGAGACACACACACACACCAGTAACCGCGTCTACTCGACGGGGGTATGGCGATCCCTCGGTCCTTGTACCCGAAACCCTAAGTAGATGACATTGCCGGCCAGCGCCACCAAGCTCAGCCGGCCGTGGGGCTTCCTCATTATATAAGTCTCAGCTGCCATACCTATATCAGCTGCATCATTCCAAAAAAGAAAGAAAAAATATATATATCTACAGGTGTCCTTCTGTGTGGACGAGAAGTGGTGTTTTCAGGAGGCTTTGGACCCTTAGAGCTCCCCCCTTCAATCCCCCCATTCCTCATTCCTATCCCCCCCCCCCATCGCACCTTTCATACGAGCGTAAAAAAAGGAACACTTAGGAATGCATAAAATACATTTCCTATTATTTCAGTCACGGGTCTAATGTCAGTTCATCTTCTTTCCTTTTGTATTTGGCGGTTTTGCGTTAACCAATCAGAGTGCAGTATTTCGTATTTCTGCCGACCAATCACAGCTTTAGTTTCCGGGTCTTGACTCTTGTGCATTTGGCGCGAGAAAATGAGCTTTAAAATAGTCTTCAGTTTCTTCAGACAAATTGTATAGCATAGTTTTCCACTGTTTTTTTCTTATAATTGCAGATTGTGCGTTTTTTGTATATATTTTTTCCACCTTTATAACAGACACGTCAATCTCATTTGACTTCGGTCCATTTTGTAAATCAACAATCACAATGTAAAAAAATAGAAAAAAGAGAGATTTATAACATTTACAATATTTCAATATCAATGCTTCCTACGAGTACATTAAAGGCGTGGTGAGACTTTTTTGTTATTTAATAAACAGTAATTAGAATGATCACATAGAGCCCCATTTTGAGAAATCAAAGGTGGTTTTATTAACTACTGTCCTCATTCAGCATACGAAAGACTGAAACACTGACCCCCACATAGCATAATAGTGTTGACAATGATAACCCAATTCAGCCTCTATGGCACTTTGAAAAAAGCCTTGTAAATTATGTTTTGTAAATATATGTACATTTTTTTAAAGAAGAGAAAAAAACAACTGGAAACGAATAACTTTGATAAGTTATTTGATGGTTATATC